ATCTGATTGGTTGAGAACCGTGAGATATTGTACTGGTATCGCTACAGGAACGCCCTTTCACAATTTTGTATCACTCCGCTTGTTCTAGCCGGGTCTATGTTTTTTTCATTATTATTCACTGAGCTAATCGTAGAGTACGTTAGTTAATATAAGAAGAAACGTCTAGCTTCGCGGTCTCTCTCTCTCTCATTTGGATGCATGTCTTACCGCATTGTTTCTCTCTTATAACCTCATTATTTGGTTCATAACCTCATTATTTGGTACACTGGTTGAGTGAACTCTGGCACAATTGGCTGCCGCTGCTCTCCGGTGTTTTCATATATATTGTTCCTTGGATGTACGGTGACCTTGAGTGATTTGAAAGGCGCCTTAAATAAAATGTAGTAGTATTATTATTTTTCATTAATAACCTAACTGAAGCAGCACATGCCCTTGATACGAATTCTAAAAGTGACGTATGTTTAACTGTCAACTTGAGCTTTGAATCCGTGGCGGAAGGAAGTAGTTCCGCACAAAAGAGGGTTTTATTAGGCTCTCCGTTGTTTCTTGTTTAATTACACACTTGTTCCATCGAACTGTTGTATAAACGCAATATCACTCGAGTACGAGAGCAATACCGGCTCTATATCAGCGGCTGTGATTGCCTCGGCCTGCGGCCTGTGCCTCTGGCCTAATCACAGCCGCTGATATACCCATCGCTAGTGGTCAGCTGACTGAACACCAGAGGGCAGTAAAGCTTTTTTTCTCTTTCACTCTGCCCTTTTTTTTCTTTCACTAAACCGGACTGAACAATTTCTCCCTAATTAGAAACATTCATCTCCACTGACACAATCGTGCCAAAACCCTGACTGACAAGCAGCTGTTGTGTTCCTCATCCACCCGCTTTTTTCTAGCAAAAAATGCAGACTCGTGACATAAAAAGTCACAATTATCTTTATCAATTATCGTTTTTCTACGAATTTGTATTGCAATTTCTCAGAGTTTGCATTTTGCAATTCGGTTTTTGGTTTCCACCATGCAATAAAACATACTGTAAAAAAAATATATAAATGTGACTTTTCATCTCACAAGTCTGCCTTTTGTTTCTCGCAATTGTGAATTATATACTTGCAATTGCAAATTAACTTATCGCAATTTGATTTAATAAACAATTCTGAGTTTATATCTCACAATTCTGGGTTTATCTAAAAAAAAAAAAGTCTGAAATGTCAGATATAAACTCTTGTGTTATATATAGCACTTTTGTGCTATATTTTACGTCTTCTCAAGTCGTACAGTAGCTTCATTTGAGAAACAACCTATATTTAAGTCATTGTTTACTGATATTCTTCTCCAACTGTTCAGGAGATTTTGTTATTCAAGAATGATTTATACAAATTATAAGTTCATGTCTAATGAACTTTACAAGGAGATCTAAGATGGACGTCAAGATTTTATAAAACTTTGGTTTGTTTCTTAACAAATGACTTCAACAGACTTGGGATTTATCTATAAATGTCATATGGACCACATTTATGGTGCTTTTGAAGCTTGAAAGCTTCAGTTCCCAGTGTAATTGTGAAAAGTGCAACTGCTGCACAAAGGAAAGAATGTCATAGTGGTGTGGAAAGACATTAGGGTGAGTAAATGAGTGAATTTTCATTTTTTGGGGTGAACTATTCCTTCAAATGTGAACCTAAATTGGAGTTATTCTTCTGTGAATCTAATATATATTTACATATCTGTATGATGCCTGCTTGGGATTGCATTCAATATGACATTCGTCAGGGAAAGCTTTGTTGAAATGTTGTAAATGTCTTGAAGTTCGCTGTTAAAAAGAAAGAAAGTTCAACAATTAGCCATTAAGTGGAGAATTTGAAGTCCATTATATACTGTAATACAAATTCAGACCAACGGAGTTCAGCATAAGAAACACCAAATCTTGTCTACCAAGATGTGGTTTCATAATTGCGTTTTTAAAACAAAAGAAAAACTCAGTGCCCACACAGTAGCTTTCATTTACATAGTTTTCATGATCCCAATGTGCGGTATTCACACAAGGCATCGTTCAAGGCAGTTCTGGTTCTTGTTCTTGGATTTGATCTGCTGTTCTTGTCTTTTTAATCAATAAAGGTGACCCACAAGGTCTGTACTATAAGGGAGATCTTTAGACATTGATTTAAGTAAGATTAACAAGTAGATTTTAACCTCTTTAAACTTTTTTTCATTTTTTTTTTTACACACGTGATCACTAAGTTCAATCAGAATGGCTTAAGAAGACCACATGCAAGCCCTTGAGTTATGCAAAATACATTTTTAATACGTTTTTTTTTATCTTCAAGAACCTGAAGGATAATAATATTATTTTTTATTTTACTTATTTATATTTTTCCCCTCCCCCTAGGACTGGTAGGTGATTTGATTTTTAGGCAAAATACAAGACATTTAGTTTTAGAGCGTTCAGTGCATTGGTTATGGTTTTTTTGTTTTGTTTTCTTTTTTTTCAGACATTTTCTTTTGGATTCAGTCCCCTTTTAGTGCATGATTTTGTTTTTTGCATTAAAATCTATGTACATTACATACATACGAAAACATATGGAATTTCTGTTGTAAATCCTTTTAAATAATAGAAAAAGTTATAGAAAAACTCTTAATGCAGTTATCACAGTTGCTTTCCTGTAATTTGACAAAACAATTTTTTTTTTTGACAAAAGATTTTAATTGAATTGCCTTTAGTATGTACTGTTATGTCTCTAGTTTGTCTAATGTGAAACAACTCTTCCTCTGAGGAACTATTGAACTGAATTATTTGTAAACATTTGGTTTATTCGCCCTCAGACACTAATTTCTAATTTGTTATTTGATCTTCTCTCCAACATGCTGAACAAATATGCCATAAAAGAATCAAATTACTTACTGTCCCTGGCCCCACTGCTGTGTAAAAAAATCTGAAACACTCTCAGCCAACAAAACTGAGGCATTTAGGTAATTTCGTCAAAACTCATTGAAGTGGTGGCATTAAAACGCCAACCAAACATCAAGCCACGTGGTCAAACAGAGTCCTGCGGTGCCCCTATCGCCTAATTTCCAGCCCTTTATGTCTCTGCTCCCCTGGAGGGGATGGATGTGAGTCTTGTCACTGAGATCCCAATAAACGTGTTATTCAAAAAACCAATTCCAATCCACGGCATGTGTCGACTTGCCACATTCAATTGTTTTTTATGCACCAGTATGTGAACGACAAGATGTTTTGACTAAAATGTTGGTCTGTGTCTCACGTAAATCTTCAAAAGTCAAATTATAAAATTGTACAAAAAGCACAAGTTGTAAACATAACAGATTTGACATGAAAGATCTACAATTCAATGAATCATTGCGAAAGACAATCAATTGATAAATCAAAAACCATAAATATAAAACTATTGATTTAAAGATGTTGATTGTGTATATAATATAATTATATTTTAAGTTTATTGCAAAATATGCATCTACTTATATACAAATATTTAAGTAGTTTGAGAGCCTGCTTCATGAGGTGTTCGTTTTTTGATGCAGTTCTCTGATTGGTGGATTTCTTTGCAGAATTATTGGTAATGTAGTTTTTCAGGAATTCCACAATTATTTCAAGTCTAAATAATGAAAACGGATTGCTTTGACGAAAGCATATACTATCAATTAACAACATCATAGCTCACAGTAGGTCTGCCTTTAATGGTTTATTAGTTATATTTAAAAATAAAAACCAACTTATGGAAAAAATAAATGGGATTATTACTTCCAGAACCTAACTGTTATGCACTATGCGAA